CCCCTCCCCCCGCACCCGCCCCGACGTCCCCCTCTTCCTGCCCCGCGCCCGCGCCCGGCGGCGCCGCCGGGCGCGCACCGGGCTCCGAGGCGGCGGCGGCGGAGACGTACACACACCTTCCGCCGCACGTTAAAGTCCACAACGTGGTCCTGGGCCGCACGTGGATCGACGCGGAGGGCGACTTCCTGGTGCACTGCCCCGAGACCGGCCTTAAGGTCGTGCTGCGGTTCACGCCCTGCGGCTGGTTCAACGCGGGGCGCTACCAGTACAGCGGCTTCGTGACCGACGCGGCTGGTGCGCGGCGGCTGCACCTGAGTGGGCAGTGGTGCAGCCACATGGACGCGTCGGAGGTGGGGCAGGGCGGCGCGCCGCCGCCGCCGGGCGCCGCGCGGCGGCGGCTGTGGACGTGCGCGCCCAAGCCAACCGGGGACTACTACGGCATGACCCACTTCGCGCGCCAACTCAACAGCTGCGGCGCGCTGCGCGCGCCGCCGCTGCCGAGCGACAGCCGGCGGCGGCCAGACAGGGAGGCGCTGGCGGCGCGGCGGCTGGCACGCGCGGGGGCGGAGAAGGCGCGGCTCGAGGAGATGCAGCGGGCGGAGCGCGGGCACCGCGAGCGCGCTGCCGGCGCCGCCGCCGCCGCCGCCGCTTGGAGCCCGCGGTGGTTTGAGAGGGATGACAGCTTGCGGCTGCTCCCTGATGAGATGGACGTTGACAGCGTGCCGGCCTGGCGGTGGCGGGAGGGCGGGTTCACGCGGCTGGACGCGCGGCTGACAGCGGCCGCCGCTGCAGGGGGGCAGGGCAAGGACGTGCGGGGGCGGGCGGAGGCAGGGCTGGGGGCGCGGCCGGGGGGCGTGGAGGATTCTGAGGTGTGCGGCCGAGGGTTTGCGCCCTGGCAGTTCCCCCACCTTCACGGCTGAGCGTTTGCGCTTGGACGTGAGGCGCGCCCGCGGCGCCTGCGCGGCCGCGCCGCTGCCTGCAACCCACAGCTTGAGACCTCTGCGGTTCGCTTGTGTTTTGTTTCGCTCTGTTTTGATCGCGCGATTTTACACAACCCCCAGCTGCACCTGCAACAGGGAGCGCGCTGCCTGACGGTGTCACCTCCTGTCCAATCTTGGCAAGAGAAGCCAAGCCGGGCCATTCCCCTCAGGCCATCAAAAGCAGGATTCTCAACCACCCAAATGAGATTGATTTCAACCACCCACAGTATTGCGACGAGTGAATACGGGCTTAACAACAAGCAGAATCTTGCCGGGTTTTTGGGTTGCGCCACGTCAGGACGCAGGCGGGCAGGTGCCCCTGCATGGCTGTGCCCCCTGCCAAGTAGACCCTCACTGCTGCACTCAAAACTTTTTCCATTTGTGGTGACTCTCAAGTCACGCATGCTGTACCTGGCATCGCTGAGACAATTCCTGACGCCGTCGCTCATCAGGGCCACATTGGAACGCATCTTGGTGCCGACTCGCTGCTTGGTGCCTGCACACGGGCAGTGCAGCCACACAAACACAATCCACTAGCATCCCGCCTGCCTTTCGCCCATGACCAATCCACAGGCACTGCATGGACCAATTTGCAAGGGCCGCCCACCCCATGGTGGTCACAGACTTACTAGCGGCATGAGCTTTGGATGAATCTGTGGACCTGCAACACACACGCATACGAGCGCCCGCCGACTGGTGCATTTGTAAAAGCACATTCCTATGAGCTCCGATTGTCCATGCCCCAGCCACACTCATGAAGGAACCGGATTACGCCGCAGCCGCTGACTGCGGGAAGGCAGCGTGCACTCAGTCCCCGTGCTGAGTCAGTAGCAGCGCAAGACGGCTGCATTTTGCTCTGAGCGCGTGCACACGCGCGCGCGCGCACACACACACACACACACACACACACACAAACACACATGCGCGCGCGCGCTCGCCCTCGGCTGCCACCGACTCTGGCGGTACTGCTATGGCAAGGTTGATCCGCCTGTGGTGCCCAACGCACCCGCCCCACCCGGTGGGGCCAATGCACAGCTCCCCAAGCTCATCAGCTGCGCCTGTGGGCGTTGGCCTGCGCTTGCCTTCACAAGGAATTCCACCTTCACCCCCTGCGCCTCGTCCCCCGCCGCACAACATGCCTGTCAGCTGACCCACCTGGTATAAACCAGGGGATTGCATGGGTAGCCCCTCCGGCCACCCCTGCCGAATGGCAACCAGTCACATGCGCGTGGCTTTGGAAAACCTTTCCGGGCGCTTATACATGCCACCCGACCTGTAGTGTTTGCGCACAGCCAGCGCAGGCACGAGTGGGGAGGAGCATATGAGTTCATGCAAACGCTGAATGTGGGCTGTGAGATGGGTGTGTGCGAGCGTGCGTGCGAGCTTTGCGTGTGCGTGGAAGCATCGAGGAGCACAGGCGTGGGCACGCCAAGACCGGCCTGTCAGAGCTGGTCTGCAGGTGGGTGCGCGCTTTTGAAATGGGGCGGGTGTGCCGCATCCCACAGGGGCCGTCGGGATGCTATTCAGCGACTGAAACGGTGCCAAAATTACACAAGCGTGGGTGTAGATCATGGATTGCAGGGAGTTTGCAGTAAACGAAGTATGCCTGCTTCACAGGGTTTTATGTGGTGCACACGTGGCATGCCCGGATGGCTGGCCGGCCGAGCGCAGCGGGAAATGCGATCACGTGCAACATAATTTGCATTCGATCACCGACTTGGTGCGAATCACGTAGCGGCCACCAGGAAGCAGTAGTAGTGAAAGTCAGGGCCACATCTGCGGGTTCCATGTTCAACACCCTAAGCTTGGGAGGGGGTGGCTAGTTGAGGGAGGGGAGCGAGACGCCGACAGCACCCACACGTCACATTAAGCTGGTTGAGTCATGACTCCATACATCACCCCGCAAGTTTGATCTTTTTATTCGCTTCAGCTGCTGGCTCCGCCGCCCTTTCGGCAGCGCAAACGCCTGCAGCCTAGATACGCCGCCCCGCCGCGGCGCCCGCGGGCGACGCGCGGCCCTGCGCGGCCGCCCCCAGCCGCCGCCGCCGCTTCCGCCGCCGCCGCTCGCCGCCACTGCCCTCCGACGCATCCTTCACGCCCGCCGCCGCGCCGCGGGCGCCGCCGCGCTCCTTCAGGCGCTGCTTCAAGAAGCCCGTCAGCGCTGCCGCCAGCTGCCTGTCCACCGGCTCCTGCATCGCGCGCGGCCCGCTGATGCGCAGCGCGTGGTCTGCGCCCTGCACCTCACACACCTTTGGGAGGGGACGCGGGGTGCGTGGGGGGAGTTCAGTGCTTTGGACGCATGATGGGGGCTCACAGGCCGGCCTCTGCAAGCTGCAAGGGGCAGGAACTCAGCAGGAGGAAGCTGCCGCCCGCAGGAGGCGACGCAGCAGGCCCACCCGACGCCCGCCGCTGGCCATGCTCCGCACCGGCCGCGCCCCGAGGCGGCGCTGCTGTGCCGCGGCCCGCTACCGCGTCGGCCGACGGGCTCCTGCCTCCCACTCCCGCGCCCCGGACTCAGGAAGGTGGAAAGAGAGCAAACAGTGCCCCCTCTGCATCCCAGCCGCCCCCAGGCTGCAGGCGGCCCTGGCCGCCGCACCTCGACGTCCCTCGAGCCGATCCTGCTGCGCAGCTGCTCCCAGCCTGAAGGCGTGCTAAAGGGGTCAGCGGTGCCGCGCAGGAAGAGCAGCGGCAGCTTCAGGGCCCCCAGGAGCTTGTCGTGCAGCAGCTCCTGGTGCACGCGCGTGTGTGTGTGTATGTGTGTGCGTCTGTGTGTGTGTGCGTCGTGGGTGTGTGTATATATGTGCTGAGTGGGATGTGTGTGCTGTACGGTGTGCGCACAGAACGTGGTGTGTGTGTGTGTGTGTGTGTGTGCGCGCGCGCGCCGTGTAGTGTTGGAGTGGAGCATCCACAATCACGCACACATTTGCGTATGGATGTGGTAGCATTGGTCCAATTGTATCAGTCTGCGGTCGCAAGTGTTCAGGCTCTCTTGTGCAAACGTGCATGCGAGTGGCCGGGCTGTGGAGGCTGGGCACACCTGCCTGCTGACCGTGCGTGCCGCCGCAGCGCGCCCCTCTGGCGCCCCCCCGCAGCCGTCGCTGCCGCGCCAGGGCACCCTCCCCTAAATACGGCCCCCAACGCCAGCGTGCTCCGCCCCCAGCGGCGCCTGCCCCAAACCCACCGGCTTGCCCGGCGGGTGCACCGGAAACGACGACAGGACGAGCCCCACAGCCCTGTGCCCCGCCCCCCACAGCTGCTGCCCGCCCTCGTCGCCGCCCCCCTGCGCGCGCGGCCTGCGGTTGATCCCCAGCGCCGCCCGCGCGGCCGCGCGCGCCCCCAGCGAGTGGCCGCCGAGCACCCAGCGCCGCACGCCCCTGAGGGCCCTGCTCAGGGTGCCCGCGCGCAGCAGCACGGCCTGGGGGTCGGCGGGCGCGCGGGGCGTCCATTGGTGGGACGAGGCAGATGGATCAAATGAGGAAGCGCGCCCGATGCGAGGAGGAGGGCGGCAGACGTCAAGCCCCGGTGGAAGCGAAAAGGCGGCCCGTCGCAACCGCTGCCGCTGCCAGGGTGCAAGGCGGTGCCGGCAGGCCGCTGCCTGCGGCGGCCGGCGCCGAGCCGCAGCGGCGGAGCGAGCGCCTGCGCCCGAGCGCCGCCCCCAACGAGGGCCGCCTGTCTGCCTGCCCTGGGCGGGGGCATGCAGGGGCCCAACCTGCATGATACGCGCGCGCTCCTCCGGGTTGCGGGACGCGAGCGTGATGCGCAGGCATGGCACGCCGGCCTCCGCCGCCGCCTTGGCATACAGAGGCAGTCGGCCGGCGGACAGGTCACCCTTCGCGCCGTGAGTCAGGACGAGGGCCGTCGTAAAGCCGTTAGGACCTGATTGGGTGCGGCCGCGCGGGGGGGGTCATGGGGGCCATCATCAGCAACGCTCCCGTTGCCGATGATGTTGCTGCAGCAGCGGGCCGCTTTGCGCCTGGGGTCACTCGGATGAGAAGACGGCCGGCGCTGGGGTCGTGGGGCGCGGCGGGACCCAAGCGGCTGCAGTGAGCAGGCCGTGCGAGCCGGAAGCCGGGCGCGCCGGCTGCGCTCGCGTGCAGCGGCGTCTCGTGCCGCCGGAGATATTGGGCGTCCCGCTGCTTCGCCGCAGCCCGCCGGCCTGTCGGATGCGGCAGCAAGCTCACCGGCCGGTACGTCGAGCTCCCAGGGAACTTTTTCACTCCCCACTTGCAGGGTGCCCCCTGCACGCTGCCACTTGGGCTCTGTTGCAGCTGCAGCGGCTTGGATGAGCACGGCACACACCAGCAACTGACGTGACCACCATCGTCGGCCTGCTGCTGCAGCATGTAGCTGTTGGCATTGTGCTAATAAGACCGTCATAGCTCGACGCAGCTCATAAGCGACGCCCTGTCAGGCGGATCCGCCACAAACACTTGTCAGCCAAAAAAGACGGCGTCATATATCAATGGTACGGTAGCCAAGTTTTGAGAAAATTTTATTTGATATTGTGGAGCCTGGATGCTAAGACATCTGCTTGCCCAGCACACCCGCAGTTGGTTTCCACTGCCAAGTGGATGCCCCCACCTAGCAGCCACCTGCCAGGCTGCTGTCTATGCCTTAAAGTGGTGCCGTGTGTGCCCATCTTATTGAATGCGCGAGGCCGTTACAGCGGCACATGTGCAATCAATTGACATGCGCACAAGCGCTCAGACACCGCCGCGACACATCGACAGCACAGCAGCGCGCTGCCAGGGGCAGCAGCTTACACGGTCAAACTTTCGACGCCGCCATGGCCGCCGCCTGCCCCGCCCACTTTTGACCCGGCAGGCATCGGCAGGTACGACCCAAACCGCGGCGCCGCGGCGCCTGCCCGCCGCCGCACGCTGAACAGCCGTCCAGCCGCCGCGCTGGCTCCCTCGAAGGCGCCGACTCCACCGCCCGCGCCCTCGTGCGC